CATATCCACGCCGCCAGTAGAGAAGAATCTTTGAGAAAATCGAAATCGTTCCGCTGCTTTGAGTGCGTTGTTCCCGATCAAAAGGGGGCCTCATGTCCAGGAAGGCATAGGCGTCTGATGGAGATGTAAATACCTTCTTGTCCCCCTCCGCTGTTTGCACATGCAGAGTGGCAGGATAAGCCAGAGAGAACCTGATCTTCTGCTGGAATAGAGCTATACATATTTCCGCGAACATTTTGCGGCGCCTGCTGATTTCTGCCGAATAATCTGCAAAAATTAAGAGCCTGTGGCCTTCCACCTGAAGGGTAGCTGCACTTCTGAAGGCCTTGAGGATCAGCGACTTATCGGTATAGTTAAGGTACCTGACTATCACCGCTCGAGGGCGCTGTGACTCCTGTTTCTGAGTCCCCAGGCGGTGGGCTCTTTCCACTACACAGTCAGACGACAGGCTCAGAATAGTCGGAATGGCGTGGGAGCAGATCGCAGGCAGCGCCGCGGCTTGGTAAGATTCAGGTAGGCCTACAATTCTCAGATTGTTTCTCCTGGATCTGTTTTCAAGGTCGTCCAGTTTCTCCATTATCGCTGCTTGCTTCTTGTCACCCTCTCTTATGTGGGCATGGGCCTGTGTCAATTCGTCTTCCAATAATGCCACCCTAGTCTCCATTTCGCCTATGCGTTGTGCTTGTGCCATGATGTCATGGCGTAGCGATTGTATGCCCTTGAGCACCGCCGAGTCCACCGCCTCCTGTATCGTCGGCTTGAGTAATCTCGCCACCGCTTCAGCAATGGAAGCGGGGTCGCTTGATCGTACCTCCTCCGGTCCCGATTCCTCCATCGAGGTGGGTGGCTGCTGCATCGGCAGCTCAGATAGGGCGCGATCCGGGGATGCGGCCTTCTCGTCTGCCCGGGTCCCCGTGCGTGGGCGAGTTTGGCTCCTGGCCACAAACTTCTCCATGAATGGTATCACCAGGTGCGTCTTGCGTAGGAGCAGGTCTCCCTTGCAGGTTTTCACCTGGTATGTGGGTTTTTTAGGCAGATTTTATGTCCCGTGGAGCCGGAGCTCTCTACATGTGCAACTGCTTCGGTAGGCCCCGGAACCGGAAGTGAAATGTTTTGCTTTAAAAGACAGTTTACACTTACATGTTTCTCTTTACTTGCACTTTCAAGGGGTGTTCCATCAATGATGTAGAAAGACTCAAATTGACTGTGCAAAAAAATGGATTTCAGAGATGTGGCCTAACAGATGACTATAGAAACCCACCTTAACAAAGTGCTATTACATAGGGCTGAATGTATTGCTAGGAGACACTTAACTAGGGATAAGTGAATTGCGAAGCCAGATGGTGGTGCACCTATCAGACAGCTCATCTGACCTGTACAGTGATCCATGGCTGATAAAAACTGCTCCGTACTCATTGTAAGGCACACACCGTATGCCCCAGTAGTAAAAAAAAAATTAAAAAAAATTGGAGGTCTACAAGTGCAAACAACATTTTATATCTTAACCATGGGCTTTTCAAGACTGCAGTTTTTGTACCCTGTATCATTTTAAAATGTGGACATCACACTTTGGACAAACTAACCTACTCCTCCCTATTCAGGGTAAGTCAAGGATGATGAGGGCTTGTGTAAGAGGGAACAATATGACACAAGCAGTGTAATATCTACTGAAGAATAAAACAGATGAAAAGACAAGAAACAAGAGAGGTTGTTGATAATGTTTAACCCCTTCATGACCGAGGCCTTTGTTAAATTTTTTGTTTACATGTTATAATCCATATTTTAGGCCTACAAATTACTTAAAACCCTCAAACATTATATATTTTCTGAAAGCTAAGACCATATAGAATAAAATGGTGCCAGTTGCAAAATGTTATGTTGCACGATATTAGCGCAACTCCTTATCAAACCCCAACATTTTGTAAAACATTCATATTAATGCCACAAAACGCAATAAAATACCCATTTTGTTATTACTATATATAAAAGATGAGGTTACAATGTGTAAAAAGATACCCAACATGCCCAGGTTAAAAATTGTGTGCGTTCGTGAAACTGCAACAAATTTAAGTACCCTGAAAAGTCCATAGACAACACTTTAAAAGCCCCCGCAGTTAATCAGTTTAGAGATACGCATACATATTGGCCCTAGAAATACTGATTTCTCTCCGGCATGCATGGCGATACCCAGCATGTGTAGCACGATCGTCGTTTTCATACATAGCACCACCCGATGCGTGTTTACGTGAAGACACGCGTGCTCACAGGGGCGAGGACATTTTTTTTCTTTTTACAATTATTTTATTTAATATTAATTTTAAAAACGGTTATTTTTTTTAAACTTTACTTTAATTGCTATTACATAGGGGAGCCCCCCATGTGATAGCAGATTAGTGGTGACAGGTACTCTTTAGTGAAGCCACACGAAGCAAGCCGATGTACGGCTGAAATCAGCCGTACCAGCCTGAAGTGAATAGCCGAACAGTGTTCGGCTCACTTCACTTCTGATCGGTCATTCACTCGGCTGCCCTCGGCAGCTTTGTGAATAGACCCCTATATTTAACTTTAATATTGTTACTTATGTTAATAAATATACCTGTTCGGGTATGTAACCGGGGCCTTTATAATAGAGAGGTGTTTACTATCTGTTCAATTACTGGGTCTGGGGACTTACTTCCGTAGATATTGAGTGTGAAAGGTCTAGGTATTTCATGGCGACTTCAATATCTTATTGCTAGGTTTCAGAAGCCCAGCAATGACAGCTAGGGGACCGGAAGTGATGTAATCTGCATCGCTCCCAGTCCCATAGTGCGGGGACAAGATTGGTGAATGTAGGTTTGCCAATCTCCTCCCCAGCTTCCTCCCGACACCAGAGAAGCCGGTCCATGGCCCATAGGAAGGGCAGCGTAGCCCAGGAAACACAGTAGGGGTGTTGGGCCGGGGTGCCAGTTCATCGGCCTGTAGAAGCGATCTGGCGGAGGCTGAGCTGCCAAAATCACTTCTACTGTAAAGCCAACAGTGGGCTATAAGTGTAAACTGTCTTTTTAAACGTGCCCAATACCAGTGATGTACAGTGTAGGTCACTGCTCATGAAGGGGTTAAAATGATGTTGGTTGCAATGTAGATTTCTGTGCTCGTGGAAGGAGATTATGGTGTTGATTTACTAAAGGCAGTTAAGCTGTTCCCTTTGTAAGGGAATTTTCCCTTAGCTTAGTGAATGTGGTGAAAATTTGCAGCCATGTCACCTACCAGCATGTCTTTGCAGTGCAGGAGGAAACTTGAGTACCTGGAGGAAACCCATGCAAGCAGTAGGAAGAACATGCAAACTGCATGCAGATAGTGTCCTGCTTGGGATTCAAACTGAGGACCCCAGTGCTGCAAGGAAGAAGGGGTAACCACTGATTAGTGGCAGACAAAGATAGAAAAGGACCCTGTATCAGCTAGCATCATACATGTTTTATTGTCTCATTTAAAGCAAACTTATACTTTGAATAAAGCTGTTGTGCTATTTTAGGGTGTATATGGTTATATCCCCAATAGTGGAATACAAGTGAAATCAAATGGTGCCTCTTATTTTTCCACTGTCCCAAACAATTATGGGTGCTTTATATAATGGCATTGCTATATGTTGTGTAGTAAGCTGTAGCAACCATTAAAATACTATCCTTCATTAGCGTAACTTAACTTAACTAGGAAAAAAATAAATGGCTTGCAAACACACGATGAATCTAATTATTTTCTAGACTTTTCCTTGTATCCAGTGCTCTTCTTATGTTTATCATCACTGAGCTCATTTTAAATCTTCCTCACTTCAAAGTAGTCCTTGCACTATTAAAGCTAATGATTCTGCTTAGCCATCTCATTTTTATTTCATCTTCTCCTTTTTTTTTATTTTTCAGAAATGGAATACTGTGAGTCTCCGCACATTTTATGTTCTGGCTTCCAGACAAACCTTCACAGTACTGCTCAGCATAGCTATCCACTAGAGATGGGTTCTGATGCAGATACAGAAACAGAAGGAGCAACTTCACCAGATCGTGCCCTTAGAATGTGGATGAGGGAGATGAAATCAGAGCACAGCTCGTGCTTGTCAAGTAGAGCCAACTCTGCATTGTCCCTAACTGATACAGACCATGACAGGAAATCTGATGGGGAGAATGGTAATACAGCAACCTATAATATGTATTTGTGAATATATGTTATAGTGCATAGTATCATGTGTATTGTCGTAGTTAGAATAACCATAATAAAATCATGTAAGTGACAGTCTTTCAAAATATCCTCACAGTCACATACATAAACATATGGGTAATAAAAATATAAATATAAAACAATCATTAATAACAACAATATAAAATTTTAGCTCTTGAAAGTGTTTGTTCCATGCACTTAGATGGCATCTTTGATGAGGAGCTTGAGTCAAATAGAATATCATCAATTTTCAAGAAGCTAAAAATGGTAATGGATTATGCCTACAGATAGAACAACATCTTCTTATATTGTGCAACTGCAGTTCTTGGTTTTTGGTTTTTAATATCATGGGAATTAGCATTGAAGATACTGAGTTTGCCCTAAATATAAAGAGAGTAACTAAATATGTGGAGGGTAATATTATGGATACCAGGAGTAGATTAGGTCTTACAGTCTTCCTGGTATACATGGTAATACATCATAATATAAAAGTTGAGTTAAAGGGAAGAGTTTGAGCACCAGTTGCAGAAAGAGCACAGACGTAGACTTATATTACAATGAAGCTTTATTAAGATTAAAGATAGCCTAATTTAAGCTGCTGTGCTGTTTTTATGTGACAAGTTCTGAGTAGCTTTGTGGAAATAAATGGAAAATTAGGTTTTATAGGATACTTTACCTGTTTAAAAAGACAGCTGATATGCAGAAGTCTTGGGAAAGTTTATAAAAATATACCAAGTGGAAGTATGTGGAAAAAGGAATAGATAACTAGAGAAGTGAGATGTTGATCACAGGGGGAGGCATTGTTGAGATCATTAGTGGGTCAGATGGGCTCCAGAGAGCCACTATCTTGATAGTCCGGAGAAGCCCTGATACAGCAGTTAACCAAGAGAGTGTGATTGTCTACCAGTGTGAAAGGGTAAGGGCAGGAAGAAAGCTTTACTTGAGGTTGTAATGAGTGTATGGTGCTGAGGTGGGTGGTGTAAAGCCACTAATGTAAGTGTTGATAAAGCATTAAACGTGTTCCTATTTCTTGGTTTAGTGTCACAAGGGATACATGTGGGGTGTGGAAAAGTGAATAGATTACAGAAAATCAAAAAGTAGCATATGATGGATGAAAAAATGGCTGGCAAATTTAACTTTTTTTATCACATGCCCAGCCCCAGAATAAGTACAAACAAACTATATGGATAATTTCTATGCTGTTCCCTCCGTTAAGCAGCTCTAGGAGTTACAATGATAGCTCACCCTTTCTTGTTCCTGGTATACAGAAACTATGGGAAAATAGTATGAAGATAGTTTTCAGGGGCAGGTCTATGACAACTTGGGCTCCAAAGAAGTTGGCCTCCATTAAAATGAAGTGGGTATAAAGGAATTACTACAGGGGAAAGCTTCGCATCTGTTTCACCATCTTCTTCTCCTGGCTCTAAGAGTGCACAGTGACACCAAAAGTGATGTAATACACATCACCTCTAGGTCCAGTGATTGGAGGAGAAGAAGCATGTCAGGGGAGACCTGCCGTGCCAGGCCCGCACGGGGGACAGTGGAGCCCCGGAAGCTGGTGGCAGAGGGTGGCACACAGCACCACTCTTTACCAATGATCCTGCACCACTTCAATTGGGTGACATGTATTTACGTGAACCCTCCTGAAGTGGTTAAGGTAATCCTGTGGTTTTTACCTTAGTTGGTAAAGTGACCCTAAGTACCTGAAGTAAGCATCTCAAGTTGTCCCCAGGTATTTTCAGATGAACTTCCAGTGAACAACAAGATGTCCAAGGAGAGTTACTTTTATTATAACAGTTTGACACAGTTCCTTCTACCACCATAGATTCCTATTAGCCATTGAGGATACCTGTTGAATTTGGTGGCCAATGGGTAGGCACAGGAAGATGTGAGCCAAAGTGAACCATGTGAGGTCTGACCTTTATTTGCATATTGGAACAAACTTGGTTTTGTTCATTCTAGAGTGTGAAGACTAGCACCACACTGAACAGGTCACCTAGGTTCTCTCTGCTCCTATAAGCATGTTACCTGTGTTAGACTGACATTACTGTGCCAGCCAAGCATGCATATCTGACATTTCTGGATTTCCCACTGCTGCTCTGCAGGGCATGAAAGTAACCTGATGTGGAAAAACATGCTTTTATCAGCTGTATTTGAAATTATGTTTAATATACTTTGAACAAAGGTTGAACTCGATGGACCAATGTCTTTATTCAACCTCAAATACTATGCAACTTTGTAAAAAAAATGTTTTTTTTTTTATTTTGCTAGATTCCTATATTTTGTATAAAGTGTTTTATACAAAGCAGTGTGTGTTTACTAATCTTTTATGACATTTTTAGCCATACTATTTCTCACACTTCCAATATAAAATAAGTCATTATTTTGAATATAGGCTTGAAAATATACCTTTCATTCATCACTAAGTTTCCATTTACAGCAGTGTGCAAGCCATTATTAGTGACCTTGTAAAGATAATTATTACCTAGTAAACATAGGGTTTTGTTTACTAAAGAAATCATTTTATTCATTTTGCCCTGCTGATCTGTGTGCACTTCAAGCATCTAAACAGGTGCAGTGGAAATTCAAAAGTAAGGAATACTGTATAAAGGTTGCAATTGCTGCCTTTTCCTGAAATGCTTGTTTCCTGACTGTATATCCGCCATTCTGAATCACTGATCTGAAAAGCTGCAGCAAGTTGGAGTGAACTCAGATCTACATGCCTTTTCCTGGTCAGTGAAATTATTAGAGCCATAAAAAAGATAGAGAGCTAGTATTTTCAAAAGGAGAGGCCATCTTTAAAAGGAGAGAATGGCAGCATCTGTATTTTTCTCAGTTCAGGTTTCTATTAAATCCCTCAGGACAAGATATGAAGTTGACACAAGGCTCCTGACCCGTAGGCAGTTTACCTATAATGTGCTAAGAATTCAAAACAGGTGTCTTATATTGTTATAGCTTGATTTTGTTCAGTACATGAATGTGACACATCCACATTAATACTCTCTCCTATATGTCCTACGTGGACTTGGTGGTCAACAGAAGGAACCAGTAAGCACTGCAGATAACCTCGGAAGTGTCAGTTTCTTTATGGGTTTCACATGAAGGTTTTTCAGGATCAGAGAGAGGTTTGGCAGCATGTGCAGCAGTAAAGGTGACTATGTAAAGACTTCTTTTACAAGTATGGATTCATGTCAGATCTTTAGTATATCAACATTGTTGCTTTAATCTTCTAATCCTAACTTTACACTCAGGGTTCGAGTTTGATAATATGCAATATTTTTCCAGGAGATCTGATTTGTGTTATGTTGCTGTGTGAATATTTGTGGGGTAGATACATCAATAGGATCTGTGTATAAAGCACACACTTCATGGACCATCAGATTTAAATTATAAATGAAAAACTATATGAACAAAATTAGACATAGTTAATGTGTTTCCATGGAAACCAGAGAAGGATGGGAAATGAATATTTTTATTTTACACATAGGATTAAAATCCATAATGTGGCTTCTGGAACAATATACCTGTCAATCATTTCTGTTACATGATATAGTTACATATTAGCATACTTTAGGCAGTTATGGAAATAAGGTAGTGAGAAAGTTGGAAAAGCGCTAGCATATTCTATTATGTTTTATATTGATTTATTAATTTTAACAGGCAATGATGTATGTTTTAGCAATATTTCCCTTCACAATGATAATAATTTATGTGCTAGAGATATTCCCCTCCAGGTGACAGCATTGTTTGAAAATTTCATCTGCAGTGACACAGATAGCATTAAAAAGCTGACAAAGGGTCTAACCCATCCCTACTCTATTTAAAACTAAAAAAGAAAGCTTTGGCTGGAGTTCCAATTTAAAGTAAATTTATTGGTGTTAAAAGCCAAGATCACCTAGAAAGGATGTTTCAGGTTTGTGTGCTTACTAGCAAATTAACTCTCATACTGAGGATCAGGAACTGTGGTTCTCGCCACCATAATCACTGACTCCTACTTGGCTCTAAGAGGCAGTAATTATAGTGTCACAGTCTATTGGCAGATTCTCTATAAAGAAAAGAAAAAATAAACAGTTTTAAAGTCCAGCTACAAAATACTATACTTTTTGTCCTTCTCAAATAGGGCTGAGACATAAACCCAACAGTGAAATGTCAGTTTTAGATGGTTTCGGCTTTTAAATGGAGTTTGTCCCAAATAAATATATTTACATGGGAGGCAGTGTAAAGGTTGTTTCATTCTCTAATCTCTGGCTGCAGGTCTATATTTACTATGATGGCAATAATAGGCCAGTGTCTAGGGAAGCAGGGCAAGGCGGCGGCACTATGACTCAATATTTACAAATTGTGATGAATGTTTCCTTACTTTACTCCCCTTGTCTGCAAATTCTTGGCATGAGTAGTTAGATTCAAGAAGAAAAGTATAAGAAACCGGGCTAGTGTAAAGGGAATATTGAGAGGAGTCAGAAGGCTCTTTATAGCTCAAGAACCATGACACCATCTCTTCTCTCTCATGTTTTAGTATAATAATTTTATTATAATGTAGTAGAATTATAGTAGTATTATGACAGCAAAGGGCTTTTTTTAATGTTGTGGCGGTGAAGTGACCACTTATGGTGCTATATCACTCTCGGGCTGGTATGCCGTTATGGAGATATACATACACATTTACACGTATACACCAACAGTTGCAAAAACCTTCAATATTGTGCAGCTTATCTAAATAATCTGCATGCTAGTTACATAAAGCTGCATATGACCATTTTTGTCACAAGCACATGTATTTAGGCATTGTTTGAATAAAATAAGTAACTAGGATGATGCACTTTAGTGAAGCAAACATTGCTTTCAGACAGCCCAGCCGGCCAACATCCTGATAGTATGATCAGAAATGACATGTTGTATTTAATTACAGCCTTTATATAGCTTTTTGGTCTCTCAGCATTCTTTAATATTATTCTGTGTGTAAAGCGCT